TATGAAGGTCCTTGGACATGACCCCCGCCCCTCAACCCAGGTGTATCCTAATCCCTGGGGGTAGAGCTCCCCAGATAATCACCGTACCTGCAAACTCTTAAAAACAGCTACTCTCTATGTACCTAATGCAATAAAATAGACTCAGTTTTCTCTATTGCTAAGGTGATGATGGTACTTCTTAAGTGGGGAGGTAGTTCTTAAATGAAAAAAATTGATGACAAGGGCTTTGGAGTAGGACAGAGCTGGTTTTAAATCTTGGCCCCATCACTTGCTCCTTTTCCTGAGCCTCAATCTGCTCATCTGTGAAATGGATGCTAACAGTATTTACCACCCAGGACTGTTTGGGGAATTAAATAAGGTGATTTGATCCTGGCATGTGATAAATGCTCAATAAATGTTAGCTATTATCATTACTGGCTAAACCTGTTTTTTTTGTTTGTTTGGTTTTTTAACCTTTAAACTGGGGAAATGATAGCATCTATCATCTAGCATAGGGGTGCAGGGGTTGGCAAATTTTTTCGATAAAGGGCCAGATAGTAAATATTTGATGTTTTGTGGGCCATTCTCTGTTACAGCTACTCATTCTGCTGTCGTAGTTCAAAAGCACCGATAAATAATACACAAATGAACGAGCGTGGCCAATGTTCCAATAAAACTTTATCTACAAAATCAGGGAGGGGCTGGCTTTGGCCCATGGCTGTAGCTGGCTAACTCCTAGGCTGGGGTGTTTTGAAGATTAAATGAGATAAGGCTTGTAATGAGCCTAGCACAGTGCCTGGCACAGAGCAGTGACTAAGAGAAAGAATTCTAACGTGTTCCATATCTGATTTGAGGGCTAGGCTTTGCTCTTTTCTCCAGGGGAAGGAAAGCATCCATGAGCAAGACTTTTCAACAGAGGTATCAGCTCCATCCTCTGCCCCAAGTCAAAGCTAAATGTTCATCTCAGCACCTGGAGCCTGGCAGTGCCACTGCCTCCATCCTCCCCCAAGGATGGAGGTAAAATGCCAATCCATGGGGTGTGATTAATTCTCTCTGTCCCACGCTCTGCCCCAGGGTATGTTGCCATTTTCAGCATGTGTCCCACTGAAATCAGGTTGCCCATCTAAACCATGATGTGAGAGAAATAAGGATACTTATATCTCTGGGGATGGCATTCACATCCATAAATGCATTTAACCCTCACCTGAGGCTGTATTATGTAGTTAAGGCAGGCAGTTTAGGGGAGAGAGAGAGAGAGAGAGGGAGAGGGAGAGAGAGGCTAGATTTGAATTCTGCCTCTGCAACATTCTGGTTTTGTGATGTTGGCCAAGTCACTTTGCTTCTCTAAGCCTCAGCTACATCTTCTATAACATAGGGATTAAATGAGATGTTACATATAAAGCCTTCAGCACAGTGTAGCACATGATAGCTATTGAATCCCATTTTGCAAAGGAAGAATGTGATGCTAAGAGGTAAAAGGGCTCATTCAAGGTCATGCAGCTGGTGATTGGCCTCAGACCAAGGATCTCTAACTCTGACCCCCAGCTGGTTTTCACCATGTCCCACTGCCCCCGCCCACCACATCCCACTCATCCCCACCACCCCCAGCTGCTTCCAGGGACTCTTGCTGCTTCCAGCCATGGCTGTGCTCCATGCACAGTGACTAAATCTCTTGGAGACAGTGACATCGCTGTCAGGGAGCTTGTACGCTTGTGACCATTCATCACTGTAGTGGATTAAATAGTGTCCTCCCAAAAGTCATATCCACCCAGAACCTCAGAATGTGACCTTATTTGGAAATAAGGTCTTTGCAGGGAGAATTAAGATAAAGATTGAAATGAGGGGCTTCCCTGGTGGCGCAGTGGTTGGGAGTCCGCCTGCCGATGCAGGGGACACGGGTTCGAGCCCTGGTCTGGGAAGATCCCGCGTGCCATGGAGCGACTGGGCCCGTGAGCCACAATTACTGAGCCTGCGCGTCTGGAGCCTGTGCTCCGCAACGACAGAGGCCGCGATAGTGAGAGGCCCGCGCAACGCGATGAAGAGTGACCCCCCCACTTGCCACAACTAGAGAAAGCCCTCGCACAGAAACGAAGACCCAACACAGCCATAAATAAATAAATAAATAAAATACATTGTGTATTATAAAAACAACAACAACAACAACAACAACTTTAAAAAAAAAAAAAGATTGAAATGAGATCATACTGAATTAGGGTGGGCCCTAAGTGCAATGAAACAGTAAAGGACAGAGGAGGATACACAGAGCCACGGGGAAGAAGGCTATGTGAAAACAGAGGCAGAGGTTGGAGTGATGCTGCCACAAGCCAAGGATTGCCAGGAGCCACCAGAATCTGGAAGAGGCAAGGAGGGAGCCTCCCCTAGAACCTTTGGAGAAAACACAGACCTGTTTCTGGCCTCCAGAACTGTGAAAGAATGAACTCCTGCTGTCCTAAGCCACCCAGTTTGTGGTGATTTGTTGCGGCGGCCACAGAAAAGTAAGACACCACCTTCGACCCTAAGATGTGAATGGATAGGGGGGTATCGGGCTCAGAATGCCCGTGTGAGGAAGGGGCAGCAATGACGGGGCAAAGAGCATGTGTTTTAGAGGCAGACCTGGGCTCAGCCCCTTCCCTTGCCAGCTTTGAGCTATTTTCCTTATTTACTAAGAAAGAGAACATCCTCGTCCTTCTGGCCTGTGGTGAGGATTAAAAGAGATGGTGTGGCACAGTGGGGTAATAACAAAGGTAATCGTAACCTTCATCAAGCGTGACATGCCTTGGTTAATTCAATCCTCACAACAGCCCAGGGTGGAAGAAGTTAGCAGATGCAGGTGATGTGATGTAGACCTTGGAGTAAAGCAAGAACATTCCTTCCCTACATCTCCTTCTCTACCCATGAAGAGCAGTAGACTACTGTATCCTTCCAAACCCAGCCATTCACTCTGGAAATGTGGCCTAAAGGCACCTCTTAGAGGCACGCGGAGATTGATCTCTGAGAATGCTCATAACAGGGCTGCTTCTTCTAGTGGGGGAAACAGCAAACAACCTGAGTGTCTGGGATTTGGTGAAGTGATTCATGATACAGCCACAAATAGGCACCATACAGCCTTTCACACTGCTGCCGGGGAAGAGCATCCAAGGACGTGTGGAAACGCTCGTGAAATGTCATTAAGTGAAAAGAGCAGGTAATAAAATGGTGAGATCCTAACTTTATATTACAAAGACCAGACCTCCATGATGGTATATGTGTGTGTATAACATACGTATAAATATATAGCATCTTTTTAATTTTTTTAAATTTAACTTGGTCCTTTTTTATTTTTTTAACTTATTTTTTTTTTAATTTATGGCTGAGTTGGGTCTTTGTTGCTGTGCATGGGCTTTCTCTAGTTGCAGCGAGCAGGGGCTACTCTTTGTTGCGGTGCACGAGCTTCTCACTGTGGTGGCTTCTCTTGTTGCGGAGCACAGGCTCTAGGTGTGTGGGCTTCAGTAGTTGTGGCACGCGGGCTCAGTAGTTGTGGTGCATGGGCTTAGTTACTCCTCAGCATGTGGGATCTTCCCAGACCAGGGCTTGAACCCATGTCCCCTGCATTGGCAGGCTGATTCTTAACCACTGTGCCACCAGGGAAGCCCAATATATAACATCTAACTACTAACATCTTTGTGTATGTTTTTCCACTCTTTAAAAAAGTATAGAGGTGTTTATATATAACATTATATGTATAAAACACATGTATAAAACCATATATATTACCCTGTATATGCACACTACCTATATAATATATATAATCACATAAATTACCATATGTGTGCACTGGAAGAATGTACACCAAGATGTTAGCGGCAATATATGAGGAACTATGTATATACATATATATGCATGCATACGTACTATTATGGATTGAGTGTTTATGTCCCCCACGAATTCATATATTGGGGTCCTAATCCCCAGTGTGGCTGATTTGGAGATGGGAAACTAACTGAGATTAAATGAGGTCATTAAGTGTGGGGCCCTGATCCCATAGGATTAGTGTCCTTATAAGAAGACACACCAGAGAGCTCTCTCTCTGCATGAACACAAAGAGTCCATGTGAGTACAGTGAGAGGGTGGCTGTCTACAAGCCATGAAGAGAGCTCTCACCAGAAGCTGACCCTGCCAGACCTTGATCTGGGACTTACAGCCTCCAGAACTGGGAGAAAATAAATGTCTGTAGTTTAAGCCGTTCAGCTTCTGTTGTTTTGTTATGATAGCCCTAGTGAACTAACATACATGCATATATACATACATACATGCAGATATATTTATATACAGGCATATATATAGTATCTTTCTATGTATATGATAATATATATGGCTATGTGTATGTGGTATATATATATGGTTATATATATAGTTTTTTAATATATGGTTTTACTTATATGACAATATATATAACTCTAATTATAAATATAAGATCAGAAGAATGTCCATCAAAATGTGGATAGTTGTTCCCTCTGGGCAGTGGGGTTATAGGTGACTTTTTACTTTGTTCTCTTTTGCTTATCTGTATTATCTGAATTTTCTACAATAAACCCATATTATTTCATGTTACTATTACATTACTTAGTATTCCTATAATTATTAATGGTATTGCTAAAATAATTATTATAAACTTTTTTGTGCCTAAAGTTGGCGTCAGTCTTTGGCAACTGGGAGAGGGTGAAAAGGCCATGGTCAAAGGGACCAGAGGCTCAGAAGCCGGGACCAGGCAGGGCTGTCAGGGCCATATGTATAACCTTGAAGAAGTTTTGGTGACCCCGCCTGAGCCTCCTCTTGCCTTGTAACAGGGTTCCCATGGAAACGTGCTTTCCAGTTTCCAAAGGGCTGGCTCACAAATACACACTTGCAGCACTGGCAGAGATCTGTGTGCCTTCTTGGGGTATGAAGGTTGCTCGGGCAAAGAGGAGGCTGTCCAAAGGGAATTCTTGAAAACCCATGCAGCCTTGGGGTCCTGATGCCTGCGTTTTGTGTCTCCTGCACAGATCAGCTAGACATCATCTCCATGGCAGAGACAACCATGAGGCCAGAGGAGATCGAGCTGGAGATGGTGAAAATCCAGCGTCTCCGGGAAGTCTTGGTCCGGCGGGAGTCTGAGCTCAGGTTTATGTGAGTGCCTGGGGGAGGTGGCGGAGAAAAGGAAGGGGTGTGGAGGGGGAGGACACTGGAGAACCTGACATTTACTGTTTATTGCTGTGTGCCAGGCACCGGGATGAAGGTATTACATACATTCTCACAACCACCTAGAGACGTGGGTATCTATTCCTCTATTTCTTAGTATATAACCATTAGTCAATATATGGCCCTATACAAGATGATTAAATTAGTGCCTGGGTCTTGCTTTCCTGTCTTTTTTCTATTTTTATGCTTCCAATTTTTATTTTTTGTATTCTCAAAGAGCACAGAACTTATATTTTGTTCCAAAACTATAATTAAGCTTCTTACACATTGTTTCTAACATTAAAAACATATCACTAGTGTTTACAATACACTCCCCGTGTTTTAAAAGGAAGGGAGACAGAGAATGTGAGTTCTTTAAAGGACTGAAGAGCTCCCTTCAGCCTGTGGGTGCTCAGAAGGGCCAAGGTTGCTTTTGTGATGATGGCTGTCACTGCGCATTTACTGACCTTTGCATCGTGTGTGTGTGTGTGTGTGTGTGTGTGTGTGTGTGTGTGTGTGTACGTATTATCCCTGCACCTGGCACATGCACAGCAAGTGCTCAGTGACAAGATTAGCTAACACGTAAGCTCTAGCCCTGGGCCAGGCACTGCACTAAGCTCTTGACTTGTGACCTCACTAAATTTCCCCGTGTTGCCTGTGAGTCCGACTGCTTAGAGACAAATATCAACAGTAGACGCTTGAATAAATCAAATTATCTAAAACATACAGAAGGATGTCAGTGCAGTCAGGACATATTTTGGGGGCTCAGTGACATACTTCAGGGGAGGGGCTGGCTTCTTGGCCCCCGGAAGTCTTGCTAGCAGCCTGCAGACAGAGGTGGATGATAATGAGGGCTCCCCCCCAGGCCCCGCCTTTAGAGTGTGTAGCCTTGCCTGGAGGTACACCACCTTGTCAATATCAGAGATGCATGATGGACTCCAGGATGGCCAGGGTAGAGATCATGGCCCACTCAGACCTGGATAAACACCTCATCAGATGATGATCTGTAGCCTCCCAGGCTAACAGGCTGTGTGTGGACCATTCTTGAATTCAGTTTCCTGGCTCTTAGAGCCAGGCCCTCACCTCCCTGTAGGGCTTATGGTGCAGGTGGGTCCTATTCTTGCCTCCATTTTAGAGAAGAGGGGATTGGAGGTTAAGAAATTTACCCAAGGTTGCATTAGCTAATAAGTAGCCAAGGTAGGATGCAGTCTGACTCCAGAGTTTTTATTAAGTGAGTGAATAAGTGAAGGAAGGTTGGAAAGAGGGAGGGAGGGAAGGAATGAAGGAAGGAGGGAAGCTCTAAATATATCTGCCAAGATAATGCCTTAAAGAGTATAAGCTCCTGAGGGCAGGGATCCTACGTCTCATCTTTACTGTTGGGTTTTCCCAGCATCTTTAACACTGCCCGGCACTTATTAGGCCAGTTAGTATTTGTTGAATGTGCAAACATTGTTCTTTCACACTCCATCCTGACCCCAATAGTTTCCCTTCACACGCACGTGCGCGCACGCGCGCACACACACACACACACACACACACACACACGAGACCCATTGGAATAGGGTAAGAGGGAAATAGAATTTCAGACTGTACTAAGCATTTACAGGCTCAGGTGGGGAAGCTCGGAGTGATGGGAATGTGACAGCCCTTGACTGAAATAGTCCCAATGACTGTAGTTGTAATAACCAGGGTGAGATTGGTTTTGTCACACCTGCTGGGAAGTAATCAAGTTAATACCCTCAGCTCCCGTGCAGACTGTATGAGTCAGATCATATTGCACGGCTGAGGGTGTCTTCTCACTTTACCGTCTTCTGCGATGTTGATTCTTTCGAGAATGGGTTTAAAGGCTGCTGTCCCAACACCCCCGACGTTCAGCATTATTCTTTCATGGGTTTCCATTTTCTTGGCCCCTCTCTCTTGCCCTTTCCCCTGGGACTCACAGCTTCTGCTTGTTCCGCCTTCCTCTCAGCGTGAACTCATAAGAGTGGGTTCAGGGTCATCCTGGCTCTCTTGCATCCTTGTCTGTGACCTTGGGCACATGACAGACTTCAAAAGAACTGCTGTTGGGGCTTCCCTGGTGGCACAGTGGTTGAGAGTCCGCCTGCCGATGCAGGGGACACGGGTTCGTGCCCCGGTCCGGGAAGATCCCATATGCCGCAGAGCGGCTGGGCCCGTGAGCCATGGCTGCTGAGCTTGCACTCCGCAACGGGAGAGGCCACAACAGTGAGAGGCCCACGTACAGCAAAAAACAAAAAAAAAAACTGCTGTTTACCACAGGCACTGTTACACTGCACACGTGCTATGTGTGTTGTATGCATTTGCTCACTTATTTTAGCTTTTTGAATCCTCATAAGACCCCTGAGGAAGTGGTTCTATTCCTTCTATTTTATGGATAAGGAAACTGAAGTTAGGTGAAATAACATTTTCAAGGTCAACAGATAGTATGGGTGGAATTGGGACTTGAACCTGAGGTGTCTGTCTCAGAGGCAGAGCCCTGAAGCCTAAGTTAGCCTGTTATTTATTCCCGGCAGAAGGCTGCCTTTTCTCTTTGCCTTTTGCTCTTCTAGAATGCAAAGACAAACTCCTGGTTGGATGCCCACAATCCCACAATCCCACATTGGGTTTGGTCTTGTTCCACGCCATCTTGAATTGAGTCGGGTGGAAACAGAAGTCCTTCTATTGAGTCAGGCTTTGGACTTTTTCATACCCGTTCTCTGGAGAGAAGTGATTTATTTGAAGCCTAAAATGATGAGCTCCAACTTAGTCAAGGTTTTCAAGTTCACCTGCTGGGAATTTGACGTAGTGCCTTATTCCTCTAAGGGTTCTCAGGGACCTCAAGAGTCAACATTTATAGAACCCTTAGCACAGATCTAGGCCTCGGCTAAGCCCTGTGCACACATTATCACGTAACCTATGAAAAATGCTTGCTAATGGAAGGATGAAGCAGGAGCGCCTCCAGCATACCTGCTCTCCCTAAGGCTCACAAGGTCAGGTTCAGAGAAGGGCTATGAGTGACCCCGGTGGGCATGTGTCTCCACCGCACACCCAATGTGTCTGTTCTCAATGTCCTCCCTTCGCTTGTCCCCCTAGTTTCCAAGTCGCTAACTGGTGTTTAGAGATTTCCCTCTTGAATCTGGCAATTTTACAGCTTCATTTGGATGAGTCAATAAACCCCTTAGTATCACGAAAACACCGCTTTAATTGGCGGCAAATGTCCAGGAGGTAAAACTTGAAGCCTCCTTTGTTCCATCCTTGATCCTCCGTGCCACCTACCTCACAGTCCCTCCCGCTGCTGCCCCATCTCCATGCCTCTCGCCATCCTGGCCTGCGGAGGCTGTCAACAACCTCAGACTCATTTTCTCACCCTTAATTCCAGCACTGACTCACACCATTAGCTTTTCATAACCCCTCCTGCAGCTCCGCTGGCCTGCCTCAGCCCTTCCGCACCTTCTCTACAAGGCTGGTCCTGCTGTTTATCTGGGTTTCAGATAATTAAGTATTTTCGGAGGTGGGGGAGGGTTATCTTCATTTTACACCCGCTTGCAGGATTGTCATAAAGGGACAGTGGGCTCTGTCTCTCAGCTTGCTCTGGGCAGTGGCAGCTTCTAATTAATGAGTCAGAGCTGCAGCTGGCAGGGGAGATGGGCTTGTGAAGGACAGATTTCAGGAGCACAGTCCTTGAGTTCCAGTATTTCCAGACTCTGGGCTTGGACCCAAGTAACATCATTTTATTAAGAAGGACCAAGTGTGGTGAAGCGGTCGTGCCCTAGAACCTGGCAGAGGTTTAGGGTGTGGTGGTAGAGAGTACATGACTTGTAAACTTTTCAAATACTTGCTATGCTGGACAGTGTTCTAAGTGTTTTACATGCATTGATCATTTAATCCTTACTGCAACTAGACATACAACATCCTCCCTCCCCATTTTATAGATGAGGAAACTAATGCACAGAGAGGTCAAGTAACTTGCCCCGGGTTGCCCAGGGTCTGTGAAATAGCAGATGATGATATAACCCTGGCATTCTGGGTCCAGAGTCCGTGATCTCAGCCATGGTGCTATAGGGTCTCTCAGCTGGTTTTGAACCCCAGTTCTACTTCTTATCGACTCTGGGCCCTGGAGCAAATCTTTTGCCCTGTTGGGAATTCCCTGGTGGTCCAGTGGTTAGGACTCCGGGGTCTCACTGCCGAGGGCCCCAGTTCAATCCCCGGTCAGGGAACTAAAATTCCATAGGCCGTGCCGCGTGGCCAAAAAAAAAAGTTTCTTTAAGGGACTTCCCTGGCGGTCCAGTGGTTAAAACTCCGTGCTCCCAGTGCAGGGGCCCTGGGCTCGATCCCTGGTCAGGGAACTAGATCCCACATGCTGCAACTGAGATCCAGTGCAGCCAAATAAATAAATAAATATTTTTTTAAAAAGAAAATCTTTTGCCCTGTTCCAGCCTCAGTTTTCCCCTCTTTACAATGGGACATTGATATTTCCCTGGCAGCGTTGTCGCAAGGGATGGAAAGAGAGGACACGTGAAAGTGGGTGGCTCTTCCTAGGTAATAAGCACATCAAAATTCCCTTCCCTCCTTTAACTGTTAATAACGTGCTTTGAGGGAGAAGAGAGGAACAGGGCTGCTTCATTATCTCCAGAGAAGACCGAGAAAACACCGCTCTCCCCGAGAGGCTGGGGAGTGGCTCTCACCCATCAAGTCCAACTCTATTCTGGGGCCTTGACTTTATTATTGTTGTTGTTATTTAAAAAAGAAATTTATACACCTGCATTCTTTATCCCTTTAATGAGCTGATAATTCTGAAGCCTGTTAGGAAAAGCTTCAAGCCAAGGGCGAAATGAAGCATGTGCATTTATATAACCTGACACTTCTCAACCACGTTTGGCAGTTTCGAGACACTTTGGATGCACTCTGGGTTTTAAATACCATCTCCTAAGAACAGGTCAGCGTTGTCAGAG